ATAAAGAAGAGACTGGGATTATAAACTTGGGGACTGATGATGAAAGAAGAGAAGTAAAGAGGTACTGCTCTTTCTGTTGAGATAAAATGAGATTTGGTATATCTGCTCCAAGAATTCAAGGACATGTTTTTATGGTCTTACCAAGACATGTTAGGACTGAGTACAAATATAATGCACAAGCTTGGACAAAGCTTGAGTGTAAGTCAGTTTAGCAAAAGCTCAAAAGAATGAAGCCATAGATGCTATTAAAAAATCAAGATGAAGTGATGAAACAGATTAACCAGGGTTTCTTCAGGTGGTAAAGTATCCAGAATGGGTTGCCAATATAGTTCTCATGCCAAAGAAAGATGTGAAAGTTTGCATGTGCGTGGATTATATAGACCTCAACAGAGCAAACTCAAAAGATAACTTTCATCTGCCTCATATAATACTTTGGTGGATAACATTGCAGGTCATTCTTGGTTTTCTTTCACGAAGGCTTTTTAGGGTATAACCAACTAAAAATGAACCTCGAAGACATTAAGAAATCATATTCGTGACTATGTGGGGAACGTTATAAAGTGATGTCATTTGGTTTGAAAAACGCTGAAGCAATATATCGAAGGGCTATGGTGATTCTTTTCCATATATGATGCACAAAGAGGTCGAAGTGTACCTGGATGACATGATTGCAAAATCCAGAACTAAAATGCACATTCAAAACTTAAGGAAGTTTTCCAAAGATTGAGAAAATACTAATTGAAACTTAATCCAGTTAAATGCACAGTTAGGGTAATGTCAGGGAAGCTCTTGGGCTTCATGGTTAGTAAAGAGGAATTGAGACCAATCCAGATAAAGTAAGAGCCATTCATGTCCTCAAAATTTGTGAAATCAAATGAATTTTTGAAATCTTAGATGTAATTACGAATTAATGTTGATTCACTGACAAGAATAATTCTATATATTATTAATAAATTAGATATCAATATATCATTAAATATTTCAGATGTATTATAAAATTTTAAAACTAAACTCGTTAAAAGTTATTCTTAATAATATATTATCAATGGCGAAACATAACAGTGGCTAGTAGGGATCACACCCCCTCAAAATTTGAAAAATTATAATTTAGGCTTTTAAAATATTTAATTTTGGCCCCCATAAAATATTAAAAATTCATATTAATCTTTATATTTTTTTTGAAATTTCTTAATTAAACCCCTCCCATAATTTTTAAAAAATCTCATTAAGCCCTCAAACTTTCAAAAACTTTAGTCAGACCCCAATTTTTTGAAAAAAATATATATAAATTGAACCCTTCAAAATTTTTAAAAATTTTACTTTAAACCTCTAAAAATTTTAAATTTTAAATTGACCTCCAACTCTATCACCGAGTTATTCCACTTTATGTTATCATTTGATTCACTCATGATATTCATAATGTCAATAAGGATTCCGATTTCCGATCATGCACCACAAGAAGAAAACACACCGGCAACCATCTAAGATGGAAACCTGCCAAGGAGAGATCGGGAGTATCTTTAGACAATCCCAATTGTTAACCATTATTTATTTATTTATAGCTCTTATTATTCATTTCTAGAGATTTTGGCCTTCAGTTTTTATTTTAGGATAAAAAGACTCCTATTTTAGAGTATTAACTATTGTTAACTAACGGTTCCATTAATAGAAGCTTTTTTACCCCCACCCACAAAACAAAATAGTGGGACCAAATCTCAAAAAAAAAATAGTGGTCAAAATGATAATTTAGTAAATTTTATGGACTAATTTTGATTATGCCAAAGGAATTTTAAATATAATTGAATGTAAAAAAGGTTGGTTGGTGAAGCCGATCAAGAAACTCGTGTGTGATCGTCGTCTAGTTCTACTCAGCAGCTGCGCCTGATGGAACCTAACGACAGAAAACAATGTAGCATTTTTTTTTTATTATTTCTCTTTTGTAATCTTCTTTTGAGAATCAGAATCATAGCATAAGAAACAAAAACACATTGACTGCACCATGAACACCAAAGGTTGATCAACTATTTACTTACAATCCATTGAATCAAACAAATTGATTGACCCCAAGTGGCACATGGGATTGGAGGGATTTTGTATAAATTCACATAGGCATGTTTTGTGTTAAAAATATAAATTTATAGTATTTTAAATTTTCAATAGGCAATCGTCTGACCTCCTCCTTCCGTCGATCATGGTTTATAAACATCAGCAACAACCTTGATCACTAGCCTTGCACTCTATCTACCGACACATAACCGGTCGCCAACATGTAATTGTACGAATAGTGCTAACATCGCATGGAGAAAATAATTGTATGAAATCTCTAATATACTACAAATGGTTTCATTTTATTTTTTAATGTTAGATTTTATATTTGAACTTAGATCTAGAAATAATTAAAAATATTATATATATATTTATAATATATATATATATATATATATATATAAAGACACATACCTCAACGAGTGTTGGTACAAGTGGTTAAGATTCAGAATTTGAGCTTGTAAGGCCAAGTTCGAATTCCACACCATCACTCTTTGTGGGCAACTTATAAGTCTTATGTAAATCCCAACTGGGTCTCAGGTATTCTCTAGCCTTAGATTGGGGGTCACCCCTGACCTAACTTTTGTGTATCAAAAAATAAAAATAAAAAAGACACGCGAATTATTGTAGGAAAGAAAATCTTTTTGTGAGACGGGATCATAATTTGTTTAGTTGGGGCTCAGGGTCCAAAATAATTAATTTTCGTGCAGATTAACACAAATAAAATTTTCGAAGACATAATTAATAAATAATAATTAATTGAAGAAATTATTTCAGTGTCAACTCTATATAATGGTGGATCCACCACTATATCAACAGTGCGATGAATACACTAAACTCATATGTGAGTGTAAATAAACAAGAATTGTCGCATTTCATACAAATGAAAGCTTATCACATAAGTGAAGATGGTATAATTTTAACAGAATACAAAAAATAACCCCAACATTCATCAAATATCATTTTGACCATTATTCTTTTTAGAATATTTTGGTTCTAACGTTTCATTTTCGAGTAAAAACCCCTATGATGGAAACATTAGTTAACGAATAGTTGACGCTCTATATAGAGGTTTTTTCCGCTAAATGAACATCGGGGAGTTAGAACGCTCTAGAATAAAAGAATAAGAGTCAAAAAGACTATTTAGTCAAACGTAAAGGTCTTTTACCTAGACGTTAGGAACAAAAATAAGAACAAAACCCTGAAAACATTAGGGACTATTTTAACTTTATGCCTCTTTCTCTTTCATAAAAGAAACGTTGTCTTGTCGAGTTGAAGTCAAATTAAGAAATTATGAAGAAAGAAAAGAATCCAAATTGAATTTCAAAGTTGGAATATCAGAGTTTGGCTATTTCACGGGTGGTGGGTGCGTTGACCAAATGCCCATATAATCGCCCAAATAGACTTTTCACTCATTTCTCCTACCTATTACATTTTGGATTATTTATTTGTATAATATCAAACATAAAAATCCATTACTTATATTATTATTAAAATTAATAATACTATCTAATAAAATGACAACAAATTTCATTATCTTGTTCATCGATAATTTTTTTTTCAAATAGTTTACTTAGGATTAAGGAAGAAATTCGAATTTAATTAAACTGTGAGCTTTTAACATGAAATGATGAAAACCAACCATCAAAAAACATCTTGGGAAAAAAGAACGAAAACTCGAGCACTTCATATCAAGAGATGACCCAATATATGAAAACAAGGAAAATGAAAAGTATTAGGTATTGAAATCAAGATTTAAATTACAGCTACGATCATGTTTTCGCTCGTGTTTATTGTGATTGAGGATATAACGAGCATTATCACTGCGGGTATCACGATCATGAAATAACGATTTCAAACGATACTGCCACTACTATATAACGATCGCTATTCTAAAAACGGACCGCTATCTAAACCCCGATTGAAACATTGAGTTCAAGGAACTTAGATAAGAACCGTTCATATGCCCAATTTCTGGCAGCTTCATTGGAGATATTTGCTAAGACCACCTGAGACTATACATGTCCTGTCAAAGAAAATGTTCAGTGAGGTCAGGTTCTCTTTTGTTGGGGCCAAAGTTTGAGAAAGAAATGAACAATTTTTATGATCAAAGAACCTTTCCTCCCACCACCGATAACCAGTGGTCTAATGAAATGAGACACTAGATCCTTAAGCAAGGTCAAGGGTTCGAATCTTAATATTGTGAATGGAGCAATTAGGTTGGGAGGATCGCCCCCATAATGGGTCAATGCAATACTCGATCTGATTAGTCAATTAATACATTGGATATACTTCTAAGGGTGCGTTTGGTTCACGGAATGTAAGATTACCAGTGGGAATGTAAGATTACCAGTGAATAAGATTACTGAGAATGTTGTATTTTGTGTTTGGTTGGTTTAGCAGGAATATAAGATTATCGTGTTTGGTTAAAGAAATAAAAGATTATTGGAATGTATATTTGACCAAATTGTCCTTATTATATATTTTTTTTAACAAGTTGAAAAATATTTATATATTTTCTTTAAAAAAATTAAATTCATAAAATTTATATAATTTTTTTTTTACAAAATTGAAAATATAAAAATGTTTAATGAAAGGGTAAAATTTTATTTTAACCCTTGAACTTTATATAACATTTTAATTATATAATTTTTTTATAAATCTAAAATAGTTTAAGGATAAATTTGTAATTTAATCTTCGCAAAATTTTTATTATTCAATGACTGAAGAAGAATATTTTTGAAAGAAAAAAAATAAGGGCATTTTAGTCCAAAACGCCGGTAATCCAACAATACCTAAGGAAATGGAGGCAATGACATTCCCGGTAATATACCCAAAAAATTCACTATTAATATTCTTACATTACCGGGAATGGTATTCCCGGACTAACCAAACGAGAGAATGTGGATTCCATTCCTATGGGAATCTCACATTCCCCCATCCAAACACCCCCAAGTCAATTTCAAATAAAAACCCAAGCCCTCTGTGCATTCACTTGAGACCCTCCGGCTTGAACATCAAATCTTTTCAATCATGGTGTCTTCAACATCCCAGTAGGTGTAAAAATGGTATTGGTGGTAAATGGGAATGTTGTTTTCCCTAAAGAATTCGAGTCCTAACAGTTGTGTCTGCAGGGTATATGTACGTCATCAATAGACTAAGAAAAATTCTAAACAAATACTAACTTGTAATCACCAGACACTTCCACAATTACCAATGAATTTCCCCGAAGATGATAGAAGCCATCTAACACGGCTGCACCAAAATTCTCTTGAAGCCTGCTCCTTTGTTGTTGTTCCCTTGCTCTTAGGCCTTAACCATTCATACTTGTTTCTTTAGCTCTTTTCTTGATAATCTCAATCAACTGGCCTGCTCTTGATACAGCATTTCCGGATAAAGTTCGATGCTTAACGAGTTCTCTCGGATCATTACATGTTTTTAGCATATCAGACATCGCTTCAGCTTTCCGCATTATGGACGTCCTCCTTGCACGTGACGAGTCCTCGTCTCCGACATATGTATTGGGCAATTTTTTGGAAGAATGGACAGACCCCATCATATCACATAGTTTCCTAGCCATCTGAGTCATTCCCCTTTTCTTTAACTCGTTATTCATTCTCTCAAATGTGAGGTATTGTGGAACTATACCTCTTCGTATCATGTCCTCGAACTCTCCGAAAGCATCTTCAAACCTATGCATTTTGCAGAGCAAATGAACCAGCATGGTGCTCGAAGCCAAGTCCCTATCATATCCCCTCACCGTCATTTCTTTACTAACCTGAACAGCCAAATCCAACCTCTCCTCCTCGCACAGCAGCTTCAACAATAGCTGGTAAGTAAGTCGATCAGGAGTGTGACCGGACTGAATGATCTTTGTATAAAGGTTCATCGCTTCCTCGATTTTCCTGAATTTCGAGAAGTATCTAAAGAAATAATTGTAGGTCGTGGTGGTTGGGATGCAACCCCTGCTAATCATCATCTTAAGAACTTTACTAGCCCCTGCTAAATCTTTGGCCTTGCAATGACCTTTCACAAGAGAATTATACGTTGAAATATCAGGACCCGATTCACACAACAGAAATCGTTCCATCATCCCTAATGCCTCCTTTAATCTACCTTCTTCCCCAAGTGAATCGATGATCGGATTGTATACTTTTGAATTCGGATCCATTCCCGCTTCCTTCATTTCATCCACCAATTCCACTGCCCTCTCAACACGACGCATAGTACAGTATCCTTCTATAAGGGTACCGTATGTTACGACACTAGGCGGCACACCATTCTTTTTCATATCCGACCAGAGTCTTTCGGCATGCTTCAGCTTTCTCGACCGGAACCATCCATTCAATAGTATATTATAAACCTTGATTGATGGAACCCAACAAAGATCCGTCTCCTTTTTTCTAGTGAAATATTCTGATGCCACCCTAACATGCCCTTCCTTACATAGAGAATCCAACATTATTTCGAAAAGATTAGTTTTCTCATCAGAACTGCAAATTTGATCTAAACTGGTTACAAATTCAAACGTACGTATAGCAGCCTGAGCCATACCTGCATGATTGAATACTGCATAAACATCACTAGTACCAAAAGAACACTAATATTCAACCTTTTCCACTTAAACTGCAAACCAATTTCATATCATACAACTAGATGCATAAAAGGAAATATTTTTCATCCTACTATTTCTATCCCAAATATTTACCACACCAAATGCTTCAAAATTTCAGGGTCACCATCCTATACATCAATGGGGAACTTAAAGAAATTTAAAGCAGGTTTATTTTCTGATCATGTATTCAATTTAAGCAACCATGATAGCTTAATGATTCAAAAATAAGTCATATCTATGGATTTGTAAATTCATCATCAAATCAACGATAGAACTTGCCTTAAATGCATAAAAAAACTCAATTGGACGTCAATAATGCAAATAGTTGACACAGAAATAGAATGGGAAGGCTAGTAAAACAATTGGTCCATCAAGAATTCAAATTTTCAACATCAAACTTCTAGGAAAAAGCAAGTTCAAATCTTTTTATACAAAACATAAAGGAAATTACCTGATCGAGCGTACCGTCTGATCAAAATTACAAAGGTGTTGACGGAAACCAAATTGGAACCCTCCCTCCCATCATCACCAATCCGATCAAGAACCAAACTCCAGGCGTCCTCAAAGTTCCTAGCTTTACCAAGAACATTGACCATCGAGTCGAACAACGTTGCAGAGGATTCAAACCCAGGTTTCTTTTCGGCCCACAGAAATAAATCATGCAACAATCTTGGAGAAGAATCGAAGTGTTGGAATATTGCTTGGAGCATATCGGGATCTGGGTCTACCTCAGTTTTGTCGAGGGCGGAGTGGAGAGAAGAAGAGGAGGTAATGGTCGGGTCTCTGAGGAGATTGGTGATGATGAAAGCAGGGGTGGAGATTGGCTGAGGCCTGACATTGATGAAGGAAGAAGATGAAGAGTTGATTGGAGGATTTCGTTTTGAGGAAAGCCATGATTGATCGGAGAAGAATAGCTTCGGCAGATGAAGAACATTTAGAAGAGGCAATTGGCGTTGCTGCTGGAAGAGAGTCTTCATTCCTTTTGCTTACCTTGAAGAACTCGAGGTTTTAGGTGGGTTTTAATGATTTGCATTTGGGTAAAGTACCAAGAGAATTTGGAGATCCTTTTTTTAAGCCCATCAACTATATTACTTGAATAATTAATATGTTTTTATATTAAATAAAAATCATTAGTCGACTAAATATTAACACATTGTTAACATATCATTGTCACATGTTTATAATAACATGCGTTGATAGCTACTCAACTAATTGTTTTCATTTAATATTGATTATTTCAATTCAAAATTGGAATATTAAAGGACAAAATACTTTTTAAAAAAGGAAATAAAGTCTAAAATGATAATTCAAGTAAAGGGTTAAAATATTCTAAAAAATTGAAGACTAAAAATGACCGAGTAAACATTAGAGGTTAGTTTTCATTTTTCCACAACTGATCCAAAGGCATGCAAAGCTCAATCCAATCTTACAAGAAAATAGTGCTAATATAAAGTGGCAGGCATTGTGCATATGGTAATGGAGAGAATGTTTAACAAAATTAGTTGATACATAAACTTTGTATTAATCACTGCATGGACCTCCCCATCACCTTTCCAAGGAAGCAATTAACATCCCATACAGCAGCATCGGATAATACATAGAAAACAAGTTACATTTCCCATACGGCTGCTAGAACAACATACAAAAAGGGAGAGAAAATCCCACCACCACCCCAAATGGAAGTCATTTGCCTACATTTCCCATTTCCCATTGTTATAAAAGGTGGGGGGCAAAAGGGTAAAACTAGAAGCAAGGGGAACCGACATTTTGGGAGGGCGGTTAATAGGCCGTTGGTGTTGCCAAAGGAGTTACCAGTACAGCGGTGTTTCCGGTTATTGGTTGGCGACTGGCTGCATTTTCTAGTCGTTCCCATGCTTCCTTCCGTTTCTCGGCTAATATGCTTAGCTTTTCTTCTTCCTCCTTAAAGTGAATATGGCAAGACATGAATAGTTGATCATCCATCTCCATGAACATCTTTCTGACATTTATTGTTAAGTTAAGCACTGCATGATTCCAATGATTCTGTGCATTCTTTTCCAAGGCTGGAAGTATGACGGGTAATATCACATGCCGGTTATGTGCGATTAAGTTTACAATTTGATCATTATTCCAAAAGAAAAGTGCCCTTTCAGCCACCTGAAACAAGCATGTTAATTAGAATAAAAACTTATAATCGTCTTCTCCACAACTCAAATTAACTAGAAGGCCAAGAAAAGTTTTAATGCCAATGAATTAAGCAATATTTAGATAAGGAAAGATATGATAACCTTATAGACTTGGAGAAACAAACAAAAGAAATTGCAATCAATAACTGAAGTTGAATAATTTTGGTTAGAGATGAAGGCATAGGCAAGCACATTGTCATTAAAGCCAAACGGATGGCTACGAACACCCATTAAGATAGTTTATAGACAACTTCTAGTCAGTTATTTTTCGTTGCATTAGGTAGAGAAATCTATTGCTATAAAAGATGCAGAAATCGCCCATAGCTTGTTAGATACAATGTCTATTAGCTGTTAAGTTGGATATTTATAAGACTGAACCAGGCATTATAAGCTCATTCTCATTAAAACCAACAAGAAGGATATCAACCCCGAGATCTAGACATTATGCAAGTTACTAAATCAAGGCCTACCCCAAAGTAATTCAGAGTTGTGCACATCTCTAATCAAACATGAAACAAAAATGTTACAAGGCCAACAATTAATAAAATTGATATGCCTCAATCATGAATAAATGCAACTAGAGTTACTTCACATTAATTAAAAATGACAGGGAACAGTTCACACAATTCAAAGAAAAGTCTAGTCATTGATTTTCTTAGGCATAATGCTAAAAATAGTCAATAACATTTATCAAAACAGTCATTTTAACCCTTATTCTTTTTTTTTGAAGCATTTTGGCTCCCGACGTTTCACTTTGGGATAAAAAGCTCCCTCTATAGATGAAAACTATTAGTTAACATAGGATTAATGTTCCAAAATAGGAGCCTTTTTAACCTAAATTGAAAGGTCAATGGCTAAAATGCCCCCTCAAAAAAAGAATAAGGGACAAAGTAATTATTCTGTCAAATGTTGGGGGCCAAAATACTCCAAAAAGTAGAATAGGGGGCAAAATGACCATTTTGGTAAACGTTGGGGGCTAATTTTGACATTATGCCATTTTCTTAACACATTAATAGATACATCTTTTAATGTGATATAGTAGAAAGTTTAGCACAAAAAAAAGAGTGAGATGGAAGGTGTAGGGCGTAATAGAAACTAGTAAAAAAGGTCGGTTCATAACCTTGGATAAAAGGAAGAAAAGAACATACTAAGCATGAGATCAGCAATTAAGGAAAATTGCACATTTAATGTCAGTCAATATATCCATATCCAGATATAAAGAAAATACCTGGAAATGGAAACTGTTAATGCAATAGCCTATCCGCCAGAACAATGGGACCATAACCTTTTGGAACTCCACCATGTTAATGGCTTCCAAAATCTCTTCCAACTCACCAAGAAACATCAACTCCTTCTGGCTGTTCGTTATGGGCCAGTATTTCAACAAACCCCTTATCACGGTACTGCACAACTTCGGCTCCTTCTCAATGAACTGAGTAACACAAAACGACAACTGCTGAAAGTAAACCCCCAAAGATTTTGGCTTGTGGAGAGGAATCAAAACCCTCCACAAGAAGATCTTATGTTCCTCCTTCAATGGCAAAGCAAATCCACTGATTATACTGCCAAAAATCTCCAGCAACTCAGAAATCCCATTATGTCTCTCCGTCTCAAAAACAAACCGGTAAAATATATTGCTTATAGCCTTCCGAATAAAAGGCCTATGGACCATGAACTTCCCATAAACCCTATGCAGTATAGTCTTCAAACAATCCCTTTCCCTTGGATCCTCCGAATCAAACAAGTCAAGCAATCTCAAAATAAAGGAATGATCTATATACTTTTTTGCTACTTTTGCATCAAGGCCTGAAGAGGCGATAAACTTAAGTAGCAAATCATACACAATTTGCAAATGTGGCCATGCTGGATCAAACATCGGCTCATCATCATCATTTTCACCACCATTACTTGCAGTAGACCGATAATTAGGTGGGAAAACTCTAAACAAATTCACAGCACACATCCTACACATGGCTAAAATTGCAGGTTCGCTAAATCTAACGTTCCCAGACACAAAATCCAAAAGCTCAAGCAAAGTTTGTCTTTTAACATCTTTCTCAACTAAATTTTTAGTCGGGTCAGTGAAATCGAAAGTTACACAACACAGGCTAACTTTACTCACAAAAAGATTCATCCTCTCCGAACTGGGAACATCTTTGAACGGCAACAATGGCTCGATTCCCGCCACAACACTTGCAGGAAAAACAGCTGATGATGTCCGTTTTGGAGCACAGGGACGGGCAGAACCCGAATTCAAGCTGTTGGATCGGTGTGGTTGCGGGGTGGACCCCGCTGTTGTGCATGAGTTCGACCGAGCAAGCTCAGGCGAGTCCGATTTCCCCGATTTTCGAGGGAGCTTACTGAGGAATTGCCTTAGCATTGCAGATTTTATAGGAACGAGAACTAAAACAAAAAGGGAAATCTAAAACAAAGACCGAAAGGGGTACTAAAACGAAAACAACCACATTGTCCTGGGACTAATCTGGTGAATTACTAACACAATGTTGGAAACAAATATGGAAACCCTAACCCTAGATTTTGTTGACAGATCTGGGGGAGAAAGAAAAGCGTTTAGATCAACACAAAGCAGTGAAACGGGTTCTATAAGAGTGGTAAAAAGGAGAACATTTTTCAATCACATACATTTTCCCCAAAATAAAAGCACAAAGAACAAATTTCACAACTATCAATTAAAAAAAATTACAAACAAAAAAGAACTGAGAAAAAAAGACAGATAAATTTAGATGATGGATCGGAATCTCATTACTCTGAAAGGATTGCAAATTTATGTAAGAAACTTTCCCGAAGATTTCTTGAGAGAGTGGGAAACTGGGTGTTTGTAGAGAAGGTAAGAAGAAAGAGAAGCTGATTGCTTTTTTGAAATTTCCTTTTTTGTTTGTTGTAGATCTATTATATATGAAAATTCTAATTTTATACTTTTTTTTAATTAATCTAATTTTATACTTTAATTCTTAAAAAAAATAGTAGTAGGAGTAACTTTTAACGTTCACTTTTTTAGGTTTAAATATATATTTTCTAAGCAGCTTGGTTTTAAAGAAATTTTATTTCTATATTAGTATTTCAACTTTGATTTTATTTATTATTTTAACATTTTATTTTTATCAAATGATGATATAAAATTATTTTAAAATATTTTTTTAAAACTGTAATTAAAATTCTAATTTAATAATAAATTATCTTAAGGTCGCACCATGTTATCAGTCGCTGCACCAAACAATGTGATACGAACCTAATTATTCTTGCGTCAGGTATTAAAAACCTCAACAATCCCTTCTACAACAATTGTTGGTGTCTTTGAATCCATTAGGTATCTTCCATAGTAAAAATAATGTCATCATTTATAAAGAATTTATGTTCGAACAACTATGTCTGTAAGAGGTGTATATATTGTCAATAACTGATAAAAATTCTACACACATATTATTTTATAATCATCCTATAGTATTCTAAAAGAAAAACAACTCTTCTTGCTCCTCGATGACGTAATAAATTTTCATACTCCAAATTACATTAATGTACATGTTACACACATAAAAACAATCATAACCCACACATCTAAATCAATAATCATAAGCCACACGTCTAAATCAACGCATGCTCAAGCAAAATGTAAACATGAAGTAACGAAAACCAATTACAATTTTTATGTAAAACTATATACGATTTTGCATGTAAACTGCAAATTGAGCTTTCTTCACCAAACACAAAAGCCCCCAAAAGCAGAGTATGGGGAATCAGAGGCAAGCAGCAGCATTCATCTATACAACCTTCAAATGTTATATAGGCCATTCACCAAAGATCCCTACTTGTGTATACTTTGTATCCGCAAACACGAACACGCAAAGAAGAAAGAAAGAGAAAGGAATACCACTAGAATGCTTTGATAAAGTCAACGGGGGCTTTTCAGTGCCACGGGTTATAGAATCAAGTAAAGCGTTGTTATAAGGCAGATTATGGGAAAAGAGTGAGGAATGTTCAAACCAAGCAGTCTCATTGCTATGATTAACATCTTTAGCTTTAATGTTATAATTTGCCTCCCTTCTCATGAGAGGTATGTATGATGCTGCATAGGGATTCAACAAAGAAGTTACTAGCTTCATGCCTTTGCGGAGTAAGAAAACTGATCATTTAGACAAAAGAAGAAAAACCTATGAGAGCTCCAAAGAATGACTATATAACTTCATTTCCAAAAGAAGAATCCGCAGAAGAAAAGGGTTATATGGGTTGAAACAATTAACAATAGTATAGTGAAAGAACCATTAGCATTAGCATATCAAAATTTATATCTCATAAGAACCATTAGCATATCAAAATTTATACAACTATAAATACTCAACACGAATTGCCAGGTCTACAACAAACAACGAAAATGGGTACTGGGTACTATTATAGTATTAAATTGCAGCCCCAACGCTATATAACGGACGCATCGTAACAATTTTCAATATCACCGCGATACCGCAAACCACATCCTCGACATAAAAACATCCACAACCACAACTGCAATTTAGTACTATGGGTACTATTCACATCTGAAACAGGTTCGTTTCTGATTATGGTAACATCCACTATTAATGTATAATGTCAGTTCTAACATGCAAATTAGTTTAGTTTGTCGATATTATCAATAACTTTTGACAGCCACACCAGGTCGATATCATCAATAACTTTTGACAGTCACTCCCGAAGTACAAAACTCTGATGCATACTCGGGATCAAATATGTAAACTCTGCTAAGCTTAAGCCTACATTTTAAAAGCCTTAATAAACTATTTGGTCAAACTTAGCTTAATCAATTTCATCAATGATCATATGCTAATAGGACTTCCAAACAAGATAAACACGAACAGCAATTAGTAGAAGTCTATAACACTACAAACTACATAAAACAGCTCATATAGCAATTGATATATTACTAAAAAAATAAATTCGTATTTATTCAGAGAGAGAGAGAGAGAGAGAGAGAGAAACCTGATTGCTATCTCTCCGTGCTGAGAAACCAGAGTAGCTAGCTGGTTGAAGATGGTACCTAGCTCATGAATAGTGGATTCCACATTTTAAAGAGCTTCAGCCCTGCTCTGCATGTAACTGTCTTGCAAGGGAACCATTTGTTGCTGTTGTTGCTCCTGCTGCTGGAGCAATGGTTGACTGTCCCCATCCATCTGCTTTCTATACAATTAAGAACTAGAGATGAGTTTCACTAGTCTACAGAATTACAACTTGATATAGTTCATATAAGAGTTGAATCCAGGTAGACAAAAAAAAGTCAACAACATTTTATTGAAATGAAAATAAATAAAAGCAAATTCAACATCATTCAACCACCAAAAACAATGAATGCACTGCACGCACATGAACAAAAGATAATGTGGCTATTCTGGAAGTAAGAACAGCACTATACAGTTGTCAAATACGGCTAAAAGCATACACGATCGATTTTAAGAAACGTTTCATGAGAACTAAATAACAAATTATGCAGGGATGGCAGCAACTCGGATATATGCAATTTCTGTAAAATATGAATCCGCAAATCTGCTTTAAAATCTGAATCTGTTTATTATCTACATTAAATCTGAATATTACTATCCAACTCTAAATCCACATTAATTATTTGTCAGATTTCCAAATCCACTAAATATTCTCATTTAGTAAGTAAAATAATATTTAAATAAAAATTTAAAATCAAGGTGGGTATAGATTCGGATATCAGAATCCATTATCCAAACAAATAAAGCAGATCAGGATTATCCATTATCTGCAAAAGTAAGCAGAGTCAGATAATGGATATTCGAGAGTTAATATCCGCATCTGCGCCGAATCTGTTGTGACTGGTGAATGGTAATTAGAATGTTCAAATTTGAATACCATTTGAATCCACAAAATCCAAATCTGCAAAAAGCATGTTAGGTATCGGAAAATATCTGAAAGTGCACAATCCATTGCCATCCCTGAAATTATCGTCGAACAAACTTGGGGGTCCCTACAGAAAATTCATGACCAAATGGGCTAAACTATTTTCTCCAGTTAATGAGTCATATGTATATCACTTGCACAAAAAAAGAAAAAAGGAAGTCATGGGTATATTTATGCAAAACATTTGATAAGCCATTACCTGGGAAACAATTGAGACGAAGATGCAGAACCATTAGCCCACTGAGGAAGGCTCTTTGAAGCTCCAGTTGCTGATTTGGCAGCCAGGGGGCGCTGACGTATAAAGGATTTGGAGAATCCTTTGAAGCAGTAGAGAAAATAGCTGTCTTCTGTTCTCATGTACCTTTAAATTCTGTACAAGGCAATTCAATTACCATATATTGTAAAAGGATGTGTTACCAGAGACATAACATGAAGGAATAGTAGTAAAATAACTGCAAGTGAACTAAGTGAGCAAACAAAAACACACGGCCTTACCTCTGTTCGCATGGTGAGTACTTCTTTGAACTCTTTTGTAGCACTCATCAAGCGATTCTTCAAGTCATCTACGACTGTGGTTGAATGGCTAGACGTATCACTAGAGACACTACCTTCATTTCTAGAATTGCAAAAAGGCTGAAGATCTACCACTGCAGAATTAAGTGCAGTGATATCCTGCTTTATAAAAGCAGTGAGCTCTTGGATTTCCATTGTAGGGTCATCAAAAACTGAAGTCCTCTTGGCCACTGCAAAGTAAACAAAATACAGGATTTCTTTATCATATTGAATGAAGAATATGTGGGATCATAGCAACTTTGACAACAACATCCATGACAAACTGCTACAACATCGTCTGTTTATCTTCTCCTACAATCAGTCATTGATGGTTGAGCAAAATGGATTTCACCAACTTCAAATGCAACAATAGTAAAATCTAAACCAAGATGGGATCTTTTTCTACTTCAATTCTAATTGACAGACCCTAACATTTGTTATTTCAATTCCTATCAGACCACAGACAGAAAAGGAAAAGGAGAGGCACAGAGCTGCAGAAGCATGGTTTGAAGTTCTGTTATTAATATTTTAACTTTTTTCTTGTAATTATTTTTTTATTTATTAATTTAAGATAAATTAGAATCTTAAGATTACCCCTGATATTTTAGTACTCGAATTCGATACCTCAAGAAATAATAACAATTTTTTTTATCTATGAAATCAATTGATTTGTGTTTTTCTTGTCATAACCAAAATAGCATATAAAAAATACCGTAATATTATAAACAAATATTGGAATTGGTTAAGTGGTTAATTTTTTAATAATCAATGAAAATTAGATATTATATGAATTAAAAAAATTTAAAAAAATCCTTACATCATGTAGTGACATATGTCATCATTTAATTAAATATTATTTTTTTTAAAATAAATTAAATTAAATATTAATTGATAGAATATGTAAGTATTGAAGACAAAATGTATAAATATACTATTTTTTTATAACCATATCACCTCCTTCATTAAATGTTAACGGTATTGAATCAAAGAAAAAAAAAACGGATTGGCAGCACTTCAATAGTTAAATGATCTTATTGACAAAATTAAAAGATTAATGTTTAAAATAAAAATGAGAAATAATTAGATGGCCATACGTATAGTTTACCCTCCTTATTTCAATGAAATCTAATATATAATTTACAGTGGAGATCATTGAATTTAACTTCAATTTTTACTTGTAAAGTTTTAAATTTAATTTAATTACAACACTCATTTTTTTGTTAATGATGAATTAAATTATCCATACTAAAATTATTAAATAATTTTAAAGAAAACTACACGT